CGCAACTTTTAATCTCATTAAACACTCAAAGAGGCGCAGACCAGGGAGCGAAAAAAAAGGGATGAAAAAGAAGCAATTTATATCAAATTGGCAATTAAGCTCCTTTGAGAGCTGCCATGAAATGTCGCAACATATAAAGCAGATGAAATGAGGTATTGGAGTCTGTTAAGATATTCGTTTGTGTGTATACAGCGTGGACAGTATTAGGCATTCCAAACAAATGAATTACCAGTGGGCAGGTTTGGTATATCTAAGGGTGGCGACATATGGTGTATTCTATCTACTTTACGTAAAATCATGAATAATGGATTACATTTAAATATTTTATGTCAAACACAATAAAAATAATATTTAAAAAACCTACCTATACATTTCTTCAAAAATTGACAGGCTTGGCGACTACTACTTCGAATAAAAATAGCGTCCAAGTTGCAAGACTATGTCGTTACCCCCTTAGATATACAAGAATTTCCCACTGGCACATAATGTTTGACAGGTCGTTGGAATGCCTAATTGTTAAATTTGATGATCATCGTTTCGAAACGAAACTTCTTGTGAATTTGACGGAAGAAAAAACAAGAAATCACTTTTCTATTTGCACAAATAAATATTCTATAATAATAATAAATGGGCCCCATTTCATTTGTTCCAAATATCTTAAAAATAGGAGTCTAAAGTGCTGGATTTTTTTTATCATTAAATTGCTTATTGAACTCAATGAATATATAGGTTACGTTCAATATTCAAATTCGGGTAATTCCCAAAATAAATGTGCAAAACTAATTTTGCGAAACAAATAATTCCCAAACCTGAAATTGTACTCTTTTAACGGCTAGAGCGTTACAAAATAAGCAGAACTACTTTTGCACATTTTGAATTGCGCAAAACTAGTTTTGTTTTTTGAATGATCAATACCACTTATAGTAGTTATTTGTGTTAAAGTAGACCCCTAGAGAACTTTGTTTCTAAATAAGCAAAAATTCCAAATTATACAGTTTTCTTCGGGATATGCGATGTGATATTATAAATCACCACAACGTATATTTCCATGGCAAACTAAAAGTGATATAGAATCAGAAGACAATATACAACCAGAAGAAGAAGAAGAAGCAACCAGAAAATTTCAACCCATACCTGGCTACGCCGACCGGCATAGACTCAAACGGCCTGGACACCACACAGCTCAAATTAATTGTTGTATATTGAAGAAACGATTAAAAAAGTTCAATAATTACCATTAATAAAATCAAATAATTAGGTACATTAAACTTTTAATTTGCAAATTAAAATGATAGAAGGCAAAGACCAAAGACAAACACATTAGAAATTCATGATTATTAACTACTACTATTACTACTACTTCTACCATCACCGTATTTTTTATTCGGATTCGGACATTAATTAAATAAAACAAGTAAAACTAGTATTTATCATTCAAAAATATACAAAACTCGTTCTGCTTATTTTGTAACGCTCAATAGCCGTAGAAGAGTACAATTTCGGGTTTGGGAATTATTCGTTGCACAAAATTAGTTTGGAGCATTTTTTTCGGGCATTACCCGAATTCGAGTATTGTGCTTAGCAAGCGTACACATATGTTAAGTGCATTTTTGAAACAAATTGTCTTAAATGCATGTACCTACTTGTATGTGGCTTGGAGAATTTCTTGTTTACATTTATTTTTCGTTTTGGTCACATTTGAGTTTGGAATTATTTTCCTTTTGCAATATTAATTTGATTAGAAAATAAGAATATGGCCCCTGTGAGAAAGTCTCCATCCTGTATAATGTTTTGTTTTCGTATGGTATCAATATCCTGCTTTTTTCACTTCGATTTAGTGTTTTTGTTTTTCTTGCTTCCTAATGTTATAACGTATTTTTATTGTATGTAATTAATTTCTCTGGAAAATCTACCTAATGATAAAAAAATGTAACCCCAACTAAGTCTGTATTACTTAATGGTTGACAAAAACGTGTGAAAACGTGCGGGTTTGTCATTTAAAAGCCATGTGGTTATAAAAACTCGTGGCATATGTATCTGAAGCTTATTTAAAGTGATTATGTTCACAAACAACTGGGTTAAGATAATAATATACATTTATTTTGTTTTGATAACCACTCAATAGTACATATCAATTAAAGGGCAGATAGAATACATTAATTACAAATACAAAAACATAGAAATTATACAGTATGGTGTGCAAATGAAAATAATACATTCATTATTTCGTTACTTTTTGATCATTTGAAAGGTCTTTTAATTTTCTATCCAATTAGTAAGTTTAAAAATAATTCAGGTTTGTACACTGTCAACCATTTTTATTATTAACCGACTTCAAAAAAGGAGAAGTTTCCTAATTCGTCAAAATATTTTTTTTTTTGTATGTTCATCGATAATTTTTTACTACGTTGTCCGATTTCTATAATTCTTTTGTTAGAAAGGGGCTACTTCAGGGGTGGTCCCATATAAATTTGGTCAAGATCTAACAATGGGGTCCATGAGAAAATCATCAAACTCTTCATTTTTGTATGTATTTTCAGCGATAATTCTTTACTACGTTGTCCGATTTCTACAATTCTTTTTTGTTAGATTGGGGATACCTCAGAGGGCTAGTCTCATATACAATTGGCCAGGGTGTGCTGATTTATGAAAAAATCAAAACTTAATTTTTAAGGGTATCTGCACGATTTTTAAGTCGCTTTTTTAAAATTACTTTTATATCTTGTATTATGTTTATTTTCTTCTGTTCTTTATCCATGTTATCCTGTGGGTGTCTTTTTTGTGACCCAGTTATTTTATATGCTCACTATCTTTTTCCCGTTTTCCCGATTATTTTGAGTTATTTCTTTTATTCTCTATTTGTTGAATTTTTTTTTCTACCTTTCCTTCCTTGATCTTGTTTAATAAAGTATCTGTATTTCATTCAGTCATTGAGTTATGTTCTTTTTTGGGATTTCATAGATATCGTCTAATTCACAAAATATATTTAAATGTACGCGTAAGTTATATACGGGTAAATTTAAAATAATCACTATTTATACTCTTCACATAGTAGTCTGTGAAGAGTATTATGCATCCGTCCGTCCGATGTCACTTTTTTTGTCCGCATGATAAGTCAACAAGTATTAAAAGTAATTTTAAAAAACCGACTTTAAAATCGTGCAGATGCCGTCACCACATTTTAACCAAATTTATATGGGACCACCCGGGAGACCCCTTATTAACAAAAACAGAATCATTGAAATCGGACACCGTGTTAAAGAATTATCGCTGAACATACATAAAAAAAATATTACGACGAATTGAGAACCTCCTCCTTTTTTGAAGTGGTTTAAAAACGAAAAACGATATCAATTTGAAAATTTCAGGAAAAATCAAGCTGTATGAACAAAAATAGAGGGGTTAAGGGGGCTAGACACAGTAAAAAAATCCTAACTCAAAAACTAAAAATGATATCATATTGAAAATTTCAGGAAAAATCAAAAATGGAAAGCGATAGTAAAAATCAAGCTCTACAAGGGAATGAATCCTATTGATTCTAAAATAAATCTTACTTAAATGGGGGATAAGGGGAGTTGAAATTAGGGCTGGGCGATCATCAAAATAAATAATTGATTATCGATTATTTAAAATAATTGATTAATCGATAAATCGAAAATAATCGATAAATCGAAAATAATCGATCAATCAAAAATAATCGATTAATCGAAAATAATCGTTTAGTCGAAAATAACCGATTAATCGAAATTAATTGATTAATCGAAAATAATCGACAATAATCGATTAATCGAAACTAATCGATTAATTGAAAAAATCGGTTAATCGAAAATAATTGAATAACCAACTAATTAAAAATAATCGATTAATCGAAAAGAATTTGAAAATAATCGATTAATCGAAAAAAATTGATTAATCTAAAATAATCGATTAATCGAAAATAATCGATAAATTAAAAATAATCGATTAATCGAAAATAATCAAGTAATCGAAAATAATAAATTATTCGATTGTCGATTAAAAAAATATATAATCTATTATTGATCGATTAATCGATAAATTAAAAATAATCGATTAATCGAAAATAATCAAGTAATCGAAAATAATAAATTAATCGATTGTCGATTAAAAAAATATATAATCTATTATTGATCGATTAATCGATTATTTTGCCCGCCCCTAGTTGAAATATTGAAAAAAAATCCTAATTCAGAAACAAAAACGATATTAAATTAAAATCTTCAGGAAAAATCAAGCTTTATAAGGGAATTAAACTTATTGATTTAAAAAAAGCCCTAACTCAAAAACGAAAATTATTTGGGAAATTTTTTTAATACCCGTAATTGAATTGACTTCATAGAGTTTTATTAAAATTAACAAATTATTTATAATTATAATATAAATAAAAATAGATTCTACACAAAAATAAATCATTTTAACGTATATTTAGTTTGACAGAATTATCACTTATTTAAAATTTTAAAAATAATAGTCCTCGGGGAACCAAAATATGAACTGTGATTGGTGGATTTCATTTTTTTTACAATATTCTCACTACATAGAATGGATATAAAATATATTCGTTCAGTTAGCTGATATCCATGTGGGTGTAGAAAAAATATATTTCAGACACACATTTTTCTATTGTAGTAAAGTAGAACTCAAAAATAGAATTCCGAATTTCACAATTTCGGTTAGAAAACAAGATCAAAGTGCTTCAGTACAGGAGTTATCCAACGATCTTTATATTTTTAAATTATTAAATTTAATTCTCTTTGAACTACAGAAGACAAGATACCGTCACTTAGCCATAACTTACTTAATTTGAATGAATCCTTTGAAATACAAATCTTCTTTTAACATGAAATGTGGAAACCCACTGTGGTTGAGATTTAATTTAATATGCTTTAGGCTTGATTAGCTGATTCTGCAAACCGAACTACAAAGAATACAAACACACCCCGTGGCAGTTTATACACGATGGTCCAAATTTATATACCGTAATGACTAAAGCTGATAGTACATATCAAAATAAAGTAAGTATGTTTAAATAAGAAAAATATTCGATTATTTAGTCCATGGGAATATTTTAACTCGCACACAATCTTGTATTATTTTACTGTAGGTACATAAGATACAAATTTCTATCTTTTTTATTTGCTCTGGCAGTAATTTGAGACAGTTTTGACGGATCACCATATAATACATATTAGTAATCGGTTAAGAACTCTAATACATTAATTCTATCTAAAAGATATATTATCTAGAAAAAAATTAATAATTCTTTATAATTCTCTAGCCGAATCAATCCTGACATATTTTATTACTGCATCTGGAGGCACTTTTAATACCACCTTCCAAATAATACACTGCCAGGCCTTCCTAGGTATAATGAAGAAAAAATAAAAATAAATTATCGTAGTCATATGCCTTAAAATAACACGAGTGGCCAGTTCTCTCCGGAAAACAACTACTCATTCGGCTAATACCGCAACAGGCATTGAATTATAACATACTAATGACGTTCTCTTTAGTAACAAAATAAAAGAGTGTTGAAAATAATGTTCTCTGCTCTTTTTATTTGGTTATAATTTGTATAAGTAGTTGATTTCCGGAGAGAAACGGTCGCTCATATTATGACATATGGCTTCGAGAGGCTTCGCTTCATCCGGGCATTGAGAATATGGTAACGGAAGGCACAAAACGAGCACACAAACTAGCTAATGAGGCACACAATCACCCCACACAAACAATACATTACAGAGACAAAATAGGCACACGCAAAAAACGAAACAAGACCTTAACATTATGGCAAGACACATGGACCAACGGAACTACAGGACGGCCAACCTACGACATCATATAGACAGTACGCCACAAAACAAGTTGTATTTTTGTTTAATAAAGGAGAAAAAAGATGTGGCCCCGCTAATTTTTAGGGGCACGGAGTTTCCTTGAGAGTTGATTCGCTAGATACCGGGAATCAATGTCCTATGCCTAACGGTTGGGGGCTGGCTTATAGAGCCGTTCATTCTCCTTCTGTCTCTAGATACCTCCCAGTGACAACCAACAGGTTTTTGACAAGTTGAGACAATTAAGTGCTGTGGAAAACTATCCCCACCTTATTTGGTCATATTTGAATTATTTTTATTTTTTATTAATTACTAGATATCTCTAAGGCGGTGGTCGGCAAACCGCGTCTTGCGAGCCGCATGGCATCTCTTTGGTTCTTTGAGTGTGGCTCCTCCACAAACTACAATGTACGAGCTCGCACATCCAGTGCGATTGAAACTTCGTGATGGCTGCTTTTCTTATTTCTATTTTTTCATACTTAGTTGGCGTTTGTATCTTTATCTTTAGGCGAGTACTTATCAACCAGTATCCCTGCAAAAAAAACTAGAAATGTAGTAAAAATCTGCACCCCTGCAGTTAGCACTTTCATCTGCCTCTGTCTGTAGAGATTGTGATATTGACATTTTCTATTTCAAAACAACACTTTTAAATATGATACAATTTAATTTTATAAGGCATAAAGTTTATTAAGTTAAAGAGAGCGTCGTGGAGTGAAAGATGTAGTTTCAAATATTGAGAAAGATATGTAGAGATGGTTAGGATAAACAGGTTTGGAAAAAATCATTCAAGCCATACGGTGTAGGTACGCCCATCCCTATTAATTGCAGGTTATTATTCGTAAAACGTCGGAGAGCATCGTAATCAAATCGGTGAAATGTACAATAAACATACATACTCGTTACTTGTTACAATAAGTATATCATAATTTTGTTACTTTGTGCGTTTTTTTTTTAATTTTTGTAGGGTTTTGCGAAATTATGACATCAGCAGAGTCAAAATGAAAAATTTTTAAAATTAATTTTATTTACCGACAAGTTAACTTTTTCTTTGCACAACTAACAATCCAGAGACATGTGGCTCGGGAAAATAAACATTTAGGTATTCCGACATGCACACAGTATCCTCAGAAAAAAATGTTTGCACTGGTAATTTAAGGGACCACATTATTGGACCTTTTTCATTGATGGTAACCTTAGCGGTTAAAAATATTAAGGTTTAATTAAAAATCAAGTTATTATTTTTTACTCGCATATAATTCCTAATTCTAGAATCAGAGAATTACGTAAATATTGTATTTATTTAATTAGAGAGTTAGAGACAAAATATAGAGATGGATGTTCACTCGCAGTGCCTGTAGCTTGTGGCTCGTATAATTTTTTCCTAATTTGTAAAAATAGGATGAACGATAGGAGATAGACGAAACAAGTTTAAAAGACGAGTGCGGATGAGAGAGTTGGAAAAAGTTTACCTCAGCGAACGTACCTCAATCAGATTGAGTTAACAACAACAACCTATATAATTTAAGTTTAAAAAATTTGGTTCTCAAAAGAAATTTCAGTCGTTTTACTGTTGCTATTTGGCTCAAAACCGATCTACTGCAGTAGATTGTCAACTGCTGCCAATGTACTGTCTGTGTACAGCCACTAATGTCTAGGTACTCCCAAGTAATAGAGAGTACTGACACCTAATGCAGTGCACTAGTGCCTTGTACTCCAGTAGTAATTTTTGCTTTAGTCTACATACGTCTATTGCCCAAGTGACAGATTAGCGGGAAATTAATACAGAGATAGAGTGAAAAGTTAACGACATTTTTCTAGTTTTTTTTCTATTAAAAATCATTTTATATAGAATGACAATTTTAAAACTTACTATGGGGTATGACCAGGACCATATACAATGATTCTATCGCTCATGTGAACAAACCTAATAAAAATAAAATTATTAACGATATACAGGTTGGCCATACGAAAACGAAACAGCCATTATCAGGAACCGAGTCAATATTTTATACAGACGCTGGGATCAGTCAATTTTTATTTCCTATATCCTCAACTGTCATACGTTATTCTCCTTCCATTCGCCACTCTAACCAAAACCATTTAAATAATAAAAGTACCAAGTATGAAGCGGGATAAAAACTTGCAAACTGTGATATTCAAGCAATTTACATTGTGTCTAAAAATCTGATCGTGAGAAGCAAAAATGTAAATAGCTAAAAACATCTATTTTTAAATTCCAACTGTATCTATATAAATCTTTTTTTTCTTCTAAATCTGCAGGAAATCTAAAAAATAAACACCAATACAGTTGCCATGTTTTGCATTGACCGTAACCTTGTTTCTAGACCGGTTCCAAAAAAAAATTGATTAATGACGGTTGAGTTCGTTGTAACTGACGATGTAAATTCATTTAAGTTTGTTTATATCATCCGTCGTTAGTCTACGAATCACAATCACGTTGGCGTTAGTCAATTTTTTGGATAACGTCCAATCTCATTTTGTACATACCATACTAAATGAAAACTATTTTCACTAAATTAGGCGCAATAGAAAATATATAAGTACAAAATCTTACAGAAAGTCTTGAATTAATTATTTTCAATAATTTTTCCATACCAAATAAAGGTAAAAGTTGTCATCCTAAATATGTTTTAAACAAAATGTCGTTAATCAAAACTAGACGTTGTTGAAGCTGTTTATCGATAAAAAATACATAATTCATGGAAAATAACAGTTTCAGTTACAAATTACAAATCTGGCATGTTTAATCAAAACCTACCGTTAATCAAGTTGGTTTTCAAATCAAATACAATCATTCAAATGATGTTTAAATAATGTAATTAATATCTGTTTATAAACATTAATTTATTTGAATTTGATTTCAAAAATTTCTGAAATAGCATTTGTACGATCGATAATTCGTCAAACTTTGAATAGGACAGGTGATGTTAATTTCAAATATATAAAAAAAAACCAAAGTTTGGGTTCCAAAAAATTAATTTTTCCCGAACCTACTCTGCGGCAACCAATGAAATCGTGCGCGCGAATACGTAACTGAAATACACATTTTAAATATTGTTATTATACGAGTACCTATTCAGTAAGTTTTAAAGGATTTTTTTTACACTATTTTTAATAATAGGGCTCATTTATTTATTTGACTATCAATTTAAAAATTTATATAAATGAACTTTTGTAATATACTGACATTCTGCTTGTGTACCAGTGTCGCTAGCTCGTCTAGCAGCCCTACCAGCTAATGGTCAATTCGCACTATATGGAACATTAGCGTCACGGAACGATAACGTCACGTCAAAATATTATTTAATGGGTTTCTGATGGTAACATTCACATGCATACGTAACGTTACATGTCGCCACCGTCACAAACCGTCAAGATTTATCAAAAACGTTAGCTTGACGTGACGGTCCGTGCCGTTGTCTGCCCATTCGATCAATGTGAACGTGTCAAACAGAACGGCAAAGTGTTCATTATAGTTATTATTGATAAACAAAATTTGAATTTTAAATTGATTTTATTATTATGCGTGACGAAAAATCGATATAACAAGTGCGTCAATATATCGTACTTCAAAGAAACCCAGTTTATCCTTTCTAATAATAAAATGACTTTTTAATTTATCTATTTTTGAATAGTATTCGGTACAATTAGAATTAACTCTCAATGAGGTAGGGCTTCTTAAAGGTTTAGAACAGGTCTCATCTTCGATGAAAGGTCTCTAATGGTACTTCGTAGGTCCTCAAGACGTTAACTTTTATCAAGTTAGTCAAAAATCTTCGTATAACAAGGTAATAATTCTTAGACATTCTTCAAATAAAACCATTCATATGTTGCATCGCTAAAATAGTTCGACCTTTTAATGAATAATCGAATAGGTAGGACAGAAAACGAACGTTTTGAATAATGAAAACAAAATCTATTTATTTTACAGGAACTAATATATTCAAAACGTTCGAATCAAAGAAAAAAATAACCTCAAAAATTAAAAATATGAAACCCGTTAATCTTGGATAATCATTGTATAAAACCATAAAAAATTATATTTTGCACGTACCATATTTAATCTAATTTTAAAATGTCTAAAAGACTATTGCAGTTGATAATAATATCACTATTATTGGAAATACTATTATAATAATTCAATGGTGGCTTGTGGCCTAGTCTACG